GTATTCAGCAGTACACCAAACAAGTACAGTAAATTTTTGTCAGTATTTTGTTTCCTCTATTTTTCCTAGTACCTAATTTGGAATCCATAACATTTGACTACCATTTTCCTTGCTACAATTCTCTGGGAAACAGATCATTTCATCATACAAAAACCTTAACAAATTTAAAAACAGCTGTTTTCCCCTATTACTGAAGAACTCTCTAATATACCTTAAAGTTCTTCACAAGTGTTTCTTGTTCAACATAGTCCTATTATCCTAAAAATGTCTCCTTTTCATTATCTATATTCAGCCTTACTGCAAGATCCAGCAAAAGTTTATTTAAAAATAATGCTGAACTTTTTTTTAATAGTACTATCAAAAATTTGTTACCCATGAAGGAGGGTGAATGACATTTCAGTGATTTCACAGGGATGGGTAACAGCAAAGGAGACACACATCTACAAATCAATCATGAATTCATTATAAGACCAAGTAAACTCTGCCTTTATTCCCCTAAAATTTTCATTTGCCACTCATATGGCATCTGATAGTAAATGCCTGGTAGTCAGTCAGTAACATCAAGACTCTGGTGCAAATACAGGATTGAAAAATTTCTTTGTGGGAGAACGTGAGAAGCAGAAGAAGGAAAAACAGAGAAGAAATAAAAAAGGGATGAATAGAACCTAGAAGCTTGATTTCATCCTATACTCACTAAATGTTTTCAAATTATTATCCTGATGACAGTGCTTTTCCCAGGGAATACCTTTTCACTGATGACCAAAAACAGCTCCAGCCATCCTTAAGTTAAACAGCTCATCAATTAACTGCTTCATTTGGGTAACTCACTTCATGAGTGACAGTCCCTGTTCCTAGAATATGCAGGTATGAATATTAAATGCCGCTAGTGACTCACAGAGCTGGATTCCCATTGCCTCTATTTCCCTGACATTGCTATAACATTATCCCAAGACATCAATACTTCACAATAGAGCAAACACCATCAGCTGAATTATGGTCTGGGTAAAGGAAGTCCTCTCCAATGCACCAAACCTTGAATTCTATTAGAAACACTCCTTACACCTCAAGATCATCCTAGAATCTGCAGTCACTCAAACACAGACTGAATGAAATGAGCTGCAACACAAATGTTTCTAGACCAGGAAAAAATTAGAGTTTAATGTTATAAATTACCCAGTCAATCACGTCGTGTATTTTCCATGACAAATGTATCGCACCTCAGCACTTCAGGAATTAAATGATAGTATATCACTGAAGTTATTCCCTGCTGCAGACATAGGTAAATCAATGGTACTATGATAAACGAGAAATCTTCACATAAATCAAAGTCCAGATAGCCAAGCTATGAGACCTCAAGATGGCTAGAGCTTTGAGATGACTCTTCCTGTAAGATGCATACACTGAAGACAGTAAAAGGGTTTTAAAAACTCTTAAGTATTAATAAAACATACTTAACAGCGAATGAGATTAAAGTTAAAATAAAAAAATCTAAAACTACTTGAAAAAATCCATCTCTGCTGCTCACGTCATCCTTGTTGGGCAGGTCCTTCCTTCAGCTTTGCCAAATCTTAGCCTGTCAGCTTGCAATGGCTTCCCCAGCTGCAACAAGCTCTGAACAGTCCCCTCCAGATATGCACGTCT